AGACAGGGAGAGAGAATCAGAGAGAGAGGGGGGGTGAGAGAGAGAGAGAATCAGAGAGAGAGAGGGGGGTGAGAGAGACAGGGAGAGAGAGAATCAGAGGGGGGGGGAGAGAGAGAATCAGAGAGAGTCAACGAGAGAGAGAGGGGCAGAGGGAGGGGGGGAGACACAGAGAGAGAGAGAATCAGAGAGAGGGGCAGAGGGAGGGAGAGATAGAGGAGGGAGGGAGGGGGGAGACAGAGAGAGAAGGGGGTGAGAGTGAGAGAGAGAGAGAATCAGAGAGAGGGGCAGAGGGAGGGAGAGAGGAGGGAGGGGGGGGAGACAGAGAGAGAGAGAGAGAGAAGGGGGTGAGAGTGAGAGAGAGAGAGAGAGGGTGGACAGAGTCAATGGGAGACATAGAGAGAGAGAGAGAGAGAAGGGGGTGAGAGAGACAGGGAGATAGGGTGGGGGGGGTGGAGAGAGTCAACGAGAGAGGGGGGGAGAGTGAGGGAGGGGGGGAGACAGAGAGAAAGAGAGAGAAGGGGGTGAGAGAGAGAGAGAATCAGAGAGGGGGCAGAGGGAGGGAGAGAGGAGGGAGGGGGGAGACATAGAGAGAGAGAGAAGGGGGTGAGAGAGAGAGGGAGACAGACAGGGGGGGCGATGGGACGGTCAGATTGATAAGGACTGGGAGGTGGATGTTGGGGGGGTCGCACTACCGGAGCTCACAGTCAGGGGGCGCTGTAGAATGAACAGTCTGAAGGTTTTCAGTGAAACAAAACTTGTTTGTTACCATAGAAATGATTTTAAACTGTGTTGTTTTCTATCAGAACTCGTTCGAAATATAATGATTCTCATGTTTGTTTAATTTATTGTCTTTAGACTAACTGATTAATTTCTTGTACGTATTTTTTCGTGATTTTTGTCTTGTCCATTTAGTTTTTTTATTACTTTCTGAATCTAATTTTATTGTATTGTGATATAAATAATTCAAATTGAAATGAGTTCGTTGTTGTTTTTTTTTAGTTTGGTTGTAAACTGGAGGACACAGTCGTGAAGGGAAAACATTTAATATGTCTATCAGTGATCAATAAAATCAGTAATAAGAATTCAAATGACCTGCAGGCTCATGGGAAATCAATAAAGGGGAAACATGCACCAAAGAAGCTCATGATGTCTGACAATTATAACAGTTATATTTATTAATTAAAAACTAAAGAGGACAGTTTTTCAGAGTAAAGGTCAGAGATCAAGTTTTTAGATCTCAGCTAAAATAAAACACCTCAACACTGGTGAATGAAATAAATAGATGTTTTACTTGATTATCAATTCACTATAGACATCTGTTGAATTTTTGAATGTTTTAATTTTCTCTCTTGTCAAACATTTAATTCACTTCGACGAAAACACCGAAGAGTCTGTGTTGCTGTGTTTTAAAGCCCCAGGAGACAAACAGCTGTATAAATAAATCACAGACTCAGTTCAGAGAGAGAAGGACGAGGTCTTGCAGTTCTTTCTCCTTCTGGACAGAGGGAGCTGTTACATTAGATTTCACAACAAAGGGGGAAGAAAAAAAAACATGGCGCCTCCTCCTCCTCCTCCTCCTCTCTTCTTCCTTTAGTCCATCAATTAAAACAGAGAAGGAAGTGAGGCGCTGAATGAAATGCACCGTCAGCACACGAGGTATCAGCAACGAACCAAGAGAGTCACGCTCAGAACATCATGTTCTTTATTGACTCAATCATGAGTTTGGTGTCGTGAAAGACGTGGCAACACACACACACACACACACACACACACACACACACACACACAC